AAACTTAGTACAAAGATGCTCTAGGACAATGTACAAACCTAATTAGTTTGGGGTAAAAATCTGTTCATATTAATTCCCTAATAAGCATAATAATTCATAATTTTTTGGTTCTAATCACATTTCAATTAAACTTGGAAACATAGATTTTCTGTTACATTGCGCAGACCTCATTAGTTTTACACTCAAATCTGTTCATATTAATTTTCTGATTTGCATAATTAGTTTTCAGCTAAGTAATTTCGAATTATATTTAATGTGTCTCCAATACTCTCAGCACATGGGAGTTCTTTCTAAGCTTTCTTTGATTTTTGTTTGGACTTTGTCATGGTTGTGGTATTTTGCGATGGACTCGTGGTGAGAGCAAGCACATACACAACATAATGGAAAAGACACAAACACGACCAAGGCTTGTAGAATACTAACAACAACAATTTACATTTCTTTTATACAAGTGCATATCAGATTTAATTAGCATATCTATACAATGTGTACAGATAACTACAGTTGTATTCATTTATTGGACTATTTCTATCAAGTGTTTGACACATGTCACGGAATATTGTTACATCTTAGCATTTGATACCTGTATGAAATTGGCATAAAGTCTGTATTAGAAGCCACATCCATTATTTTTGAACAATTAAAAACCAAAAATTCACCATTTCTCATATGTGTAGATGATGACACATCCCCTCTGTTGCAATGTACAATTGTAATAGAAACTGCTGCATCAATTTTACAGATTTCACAGTACCAGTTTTAAGATATTATTCCTGTACTAAGTATGGATCATTTTGATTTACACAGTCTTGTGTTACTTCATAATACGCTTTCACTGATATGCTAAAATTAATTAGAACAAAGAACATCATGCAGCTTGTGATGTCTTGACTATGAATGTTGTTACACTACCATAATTACTTGCCATTGTCTCTTACAGCAAAATGGCTTGAAGAGAAGCGTTAAGAATGTGAAATATTGGAAACTCTACAAATAACTAAAGATGTAAATACTACCGCTGGTAACTTTCTGACTTGTACAGCATTATATCATCGTTGGGTGTACAAGTGCATATTTTCCATCATAGTTGCCACAGGTCTGAATCTAACCCTAAGCAAATGCATTAGTGTGCATTTGTGTCAATATGGAGTAAGAGCTTTTCATTTCTAGAAAGTATTTAAACATTCCCACCATAATTACTTTGTAAAATAGAAAAGTGAATTATTCTCTAGGCAATATATTCAACATACATCTCCAAGCGATGAAAGTATATACACCTCACTGTGACTTGTTGACTTTTTTTCAGAGCATTTTACTTATGTAAAAGCATGTACTTCTAATGGCATACATATTGTACAGTAGAAACAAATGTAGTAACACAATGTTATTAGTTATCAATGTTTACTACATAAATTGCCAGATATGTTCATATTTGGATTATTGTAGGCTTTCACATTGATTGACCTGATTCACTTTCTGAATAGCACACTGACATTTTTATTGCTACTAAATGTTTTGAAATTTCATGAAATTTAACTTTCATAAAGGATGTTGCAGATATATTTATGCAATTAGTTGAGCTGGCTAACGCCATTGTTCAATCTTCTTTGTTAAGTAATTTTTTTTTTTTTTAAATTATCGATTCAATTACTATATTTCAATGAATTTTTACATGATTATGCAACCCAGCCAGACCTTGTCGCTTTAAAAAAAAAACAATGGCTGTGGAATTATTATTACATGTTTCTGTCCTAAAAATATTTTATAAATCTATGCAATATCAATGAATAATCACATCTATTAACTTACTGTGATATATGTAATAAATAATACTAATAAAGTAAATATAACCAGTGGTATGTTTTGTCTGTTTACTTCATTTCTAAAAATTATCAAGATACAAGTAATCTGTGATGTCATTTGTTTACAACCAACCAACACATGCCTATGTTGAAGAATATTCATTCCTGAACATTATTTTTGGGATAACCGGTACTCTGTCTTTATGTGTGTACTGTCCCAATGATATGTCAAGAATTGTTTGTTTGATTTAAATGAAAATTTGTACATAGATTCCTTGCGTCAAAGCACATACCTGATTAGTTTTTGATTGAAATATGGTCTTATAAATGACCTTTTTTGCATAATTCAAATCTTGGCTTTTCTACTGATATCTCAAGAACTAATCATATTTCACTAAAGCTTGGTAGGATTTTTCCTAGTGTGATACATTTCTGTGAATGGATATAATGCCAGAATTTATAGAGCAAGCCATGTTAAAGTTCTATTTCATAAAAAATGAAGAGTTATCATCATCAGAATAATTCATTACAACTGTAAATATCCATCTTATAACTACATATAATTTTGTAACTAAATGAAATTTTGAGATTTGGTGAGAACTTTACCATAGAAACCAATGATAAGTGACACAAAAATCACTGTTTTCATGGATGTTTTTGTGTTTATCTTAGATTTTTGAGTGACAGCACGAAATAAAACCATAGTGTACATTGCAAGGAAATTTGATCACATTTTTTAATCGCAGCAAACCACCTTCAAGCAGGTAGTCTAGTAGGTATAGAGCGGTCAGTTCCACACAAAATTGTAACCACTTTTATGTGAAAACAACCCAGAAAGCAATCACACCTTTATTTACAGAAGCATGGTCACTGACGAGCAGTAGACAACTCATGATTCTGTGATTTGAATATTGATGAATGAATAACAAAATTTTAATTCATGATAATATTAAATGAACTGCATTTTTCTGACAATTACACATCAAATTGCTTAAGGTAGAACACTTCACAAAAGTAAAATTACTGTCATTTTCATTATTTTTACATAGTTGATATATCATGTTACAAAAATTAAAAAAAATTAATCGATAAAAAGAGTGAAAATAGAATGTTTTGTATGTTTTATGGTATTTTAGGATATATCTCAAAGTTTTGCTTGGTGTCATATAGTGTTTCACAAGGTACTTGTTAATGTCTATTTTTAGAGGGTTTTTAATAAGAAAATATGTTTTCATTGTGGTCTATGGAAACCGCTGCTAAAATGGCATTTTATTTGTATCATTTTACCATTTTTCTCAATAATCTGATTTCCAGTGAACCAAAACAAGTTTACATTCGGTTGACTAATACTAAGGCAAATAATTATAGACAGATTTAACCACACAATATTGCTATTGCTATATGTTTTTGGCCTTTGTTTTCACCGCGAGGGTTGCCAAGCGGTGAAAATGCCCGGATGCCCCCCCCCCCCAGGATACAACTAGAAAATAAACCCTAGTTCTGAAAGCGCCATCAGCGGTGAGGTTATATCTTTCGTTTAACCTAGTTTGGTAAGCTGTACAATAATTCTTGTATATACTCGTATATGGTTTTAAATATGTTTGTCCTTCCAACAATATTATTAAAAAAAAAAAACAGTTGTTTCCCTACTGTCCTCGCACTGATATGCATCATGCGTTTTATATTCTTACCCTGGTTCGTACCACCAGCGTGCGTTTCTGCTTCTGCGTCGACTGCGGGGCGCTGGTGTGTTATATAGAACGTCCCACCCGCGCGTGTTGATTGGTCAACGAGTTCCCATTCATGCGCTATTATTGTCTCCGTGTTCGACGTGTTCTGCTTCACAAAGGCAACTTGTCAGACCAAGTTGCTTCACGCAAGTAAACATTTTAAGCAAATTATACAATTTATCGTTACTAAAAAATGAGCCACCTGTCACCCGCAACTGCCGAAACCACCTACAGTAGTGAGTACAAGACTGGAACGTTTCTGCCACCCATAAAACACCACCAGTTGCTGTCACTGACTCTGAAAAACATACCGAAACTGAAACCACGCAAGTTTCCGATAGAGCCTGTCGGACCACATCGTCTATTGGAAAAAGAAATTGGCTGTTCGCCGGGACTTGGGTTAGGCAATCACACCAATTTGCCCACGATAAAGTAAGTCTATATCAAACACATACAGTATATAGTTGATAAAAGGGGTTTCGTCACGGTGACAAGTCGCATTATTGAAACAAAAACGGCCTGTGTTGGGTACGTAAAAGAACAACTACTTCCCTATACCGACTTGTTGGACAGCTTATGTATACCTGCAGCTGTTCCTTATTGGCGTGTGCTGGTCGTATAATGAAATTGTACAACAACACAACTGCGCTTCTAAAGAAACTTGCCGACGTTTCCTTGTGTTTGCAACCATGGATCTATGACAATAACGTGACAGATTAAGCTGCAATCTGTCTATGTTTTTCACATGTCAAATGACCCAGTATCACTATCATGCGTTTCCTCTTCCCAGGTACCTGGATCCTAAGCCGATAGTACGCACACTGCCACCACAAGAACTGATCAACGAAATACCGCCAAAAGTACCAAACAAGTACCCCGACTTGAGCCTTGAAAACTTAACTGAGAAACCAGCGAAAGAAGTTATTGGCGCATTGAGTCATAATTTCGAATGGACGACGGCGGCACAGTTATTAATGAAGGACGTTACCATGGAGGCAACTAAGGTGATTTTCAATGTATTTTTTTCACAATGTGACATTGAACTGTAAACTCATATTTGCTGAAATAACACTTGATTACAATAATCAAAAATAATAATCGTAATAACATTGCTATTTTATATACCAACTTGACATGTCAAGTCGTCTATATGGTAATACTATTATCACGGGGAAAATTCTTCTCTCTCTGGGTTCTCCACACTTGCCAGGGGGGAATCTCGTCTCGTCTCTATATCTCGTCCCCTTGAGGTGCGGGATCGGGAAAGTCACTTAAGCTTTACAGTCAAATAAGACACACACAACGAAATACGTTTCAACTCTCGTCTTAGTCGGTCTTTTTTGCACTCTCCAAGACACAGCGCCCTGGGGAAAAATCCCCAAGACTATCGCAAGGCTGACCCAAGACTCTCTTAGACTGCGTCAACACTCGCCCCAAGGCTCTCCAGGACTGGACTCGACTGCCCAGGACTGCGTCTATCGTGGAGTACTTGCCAAGACCAACTCAAACTCTCTTTATTCATTTTCAAAACTCTAACCAATTACAAAGCAGTAAAAAGACTCTAAGACGTAACCTTCAATCATAAAGCCAATCACACTATTAAGTACTGAATACGTCATATCTTTTGATTAATCGTTCACTACATTAATAACTATGAATATAAACTGTCAGAATAGCGACGGTTATCTGGCAATTTGTTCCAAATCACTGAGCTAAGTTCCGTCCAAAACTTCAAATAGGCCTAAACGATGACAGACATAACACAGCAATTCGCTAATAATCAGCTAATTAAGTCGGTCAACAGATACGCAAAAACAAATTCATGACACTATCAACAACTCGATATACTGCATGCGTGAATTGAGCCGACGCGCATGGCATGCTTGGCAGCAGGGATTTCCTAATAACATTTTACACGCCAAGACCCCGCAACTTGTTCACGTCCCCGATTCCAGTCACCAGAATGTTCAAAGACGTAATTTGCAGAGCATTGTCAGGGATGGTTTTATGTAAAGCGCATGCCTTAAATTAAATAAATTTCGTGAAAGTAAAACACACTGAATATTCTCAAAACATCAACATAGTGAATAATAAATAATTTCACAGTACATGACGAATAATATCCTCACTTTTCGTCTGTAGATTCCACCATCCAAAACAACAGTAGAGTGTAATGCTGACGTTATCAAATATCGACCAATGAGATATGAACCTGCATCTGAATCGTGGCAAAGAGTGGCACCTGTCTGGGACAAAATTCAGTTAAGACATGGAACCATGGGTCAAGAAATTCTAAGCAGAAAACCTGACAAAATGTGAGTGAAATTGATTTTAAATGGATGAAAATAGGTTTTTTGTTTTGTTTTGTTTATTTGCATAATTCATGTACTCAGATTACTAGCGCGTTCTCTTTGAGTCAGATCGAGTCTAGGACACTTTTCTTTTAATTCACAGGACCTCGCACGTGACTAAGATCATAGACGTTAACCATGGAATCATAAATTTGGTGAAAGATGGGAATTTGTCATCTTACTAGTAAGTATATGAAATTACAGCACATTACGTAATAGACACGTGCTGTCTCTTAATAATTATGACAATATAGACACGCGTTAATCCCTAAATGACGTGATAGACGTAGGTTTCTCCAAATATGACAGGTAGGGTTGGGTTGCAAGACAGAAGGAAAATAATCTATGTATAGGGTCCAGTTGAGAACCGAATTGAACACCTCGTGAAATTGTGTAAATAAGACCGTTTTTTACTTTGGTGTACTTGTGTTCGGGTATATATATAAAACGCG